AAGATAGCAGTGTTCCAGTATCTCAGGGGCTGCCCCAAAGAAGAGGGAGTCAAGCTGTTCTCCAAAGCGCCTGAAGGCAGGACAAGAAGCAACGGATGGAAGCTTTTATCAAAGAGAGAAGCAACCTAGAACTAAGGAGAAACTTCCTGACAGTGAGAACAATTAACCAGTGGAACTCCTTGCCTCCAGAAGCGGTGAATGCTCCAACACTGGAAGTTTTTAGGAAGAGACTGGACAGCCATTTGTCTGAAATGGTATAGGGTTTCCTGCCTGAGCAAGGGTTGGACTAGATGACCTCCAAGGTCCCTTCCAACTTTATTATTATTATTATTATTATTATTATTATTATTATTATTATTATTATTATTATTATTATTATTATTATTATTATTATTATTATTATTACTAGCTGTACCCAGCCATGCGTTGCTGTGGCTCAGTCTGGTTAAATGGTAAAGAAAGAAAAGAGAAAGCGCACGTTTGTGTCACAGGTGTGACATCTATATAATAGTACGTATATAAAAATACGCGCGTATTCGAATGCAACGTTGTGTCAAAATTTCAAAGCAATCGGTGAAGAACTTTCGGAGATTCAAGATTTTGAACAAACGAACATTTACATTTTTATTTATATAGATGATGATGATGATGATGATGATGATGATGATGATTATTAAAAGGGGAGCTTGATTTAAATAAAAATTGAAAATTAATTGAAAATTGGTCGGACCAGGCTGCGTCTGCGAGCTTTCTGCAACCTCTGTGAACTCCGTGTGTGTCAGGGACTTGCGTCCAAATGAAGTCAAGAGACGCTGACACAAACTTGTAGGTTTACATAAATATATTTTACATCTATCTATAAAGCAAACTAGATGGTTGGGCAAACAGGAGCGTCGTGAGGTAAATCACAGAGCCCACCGAGCAAAACGCAAGAAAAAAGGCGGGAAAAAAGGGAAACGCCCCCTCCATACCCACAGCAACCAATCACAACACAGTTTGCCTCTCGCGGGGGCCAATCTCCAACCAATCAACTACAACTGTGTGTTCTGGCTCACTGCGCAAATGCCACTGCTCCAGCTGCTACATTTTAAATATCTTAACACAACAGTTTGTGTTGTGTTAAGATATTTGTTAAGGGTGTCTTGCGCCACAGTGGA